AAAAAAAAAAAAGAAACTTGCATTCTGGCTCATTGCCTGTAGCTCAGCGGCTAGCATCAGCCACATACACCGGGAGCTGGCGGGTTGGAACCCAGCCCGGGCCTGCCAAACAACAATGACAACTGCAACAAAAAAATAGCTGGGTGTTGTGGGGGGTTCCTGTAGTCCCAGCTACTTGGGAGGCTGAGGCAAGAGAATCGCTTGAGCCCAGGAGTTAGACGTTGCTGTGAGCTATGATGCCAAGGCACTCTACCCAGGGCAACATAGTGAGACTCTTGTCTCAAAAAAGAAAAAGAAAAAAGGGCAGCGCCTGTGGCTCAAAGGAGTAGGGCGCTGGTCCTATATGCCGGAGGTGGTGGGTTCAAACCCAGCCCTGGCCAAAAAGGAAAAAAAAAAGAAAAGAAATTTGCATTCTGTCTTGATCTCTCAACTTTTACTTTGTAGATGCTGAGTTTCACAGCTTCCTTAAGAAAGCCTCTCCCAGTCCATGAACAGAAGTGTTATTCTATATTATTATTCTATATAGTAATATATAACATCATATATTCTTTGGATGCCTCTGTATTTTGTCTCTTGCCATCTCAGTTATAGCAGCTTTGTTCTTCCAGTTGCTCAGAACAAGAGCAACTGGGTGTTATTCCTGATTTCTCTCCTTTTGTCATATACCACATCTTATTCATCACCAGCTTCTCAATATTCCAAAGCTATCTAGACTCTGAGCACTTCCCCCACCCCAGCCTCATCTGAGCCACCAGCATCACCAATTGCCTGGGTCACATCAATAGCGTCTTAACTGGTCTCTCTGCTACCACCCTGGTCCCCTCACAGTCTTTTTTTTTTTTTTTTTTTTGAGACAGAGTCTCACTTTGTCGCCCTGGATAGAGTGTCTTGGCATCACAGCTCACAGAAACCTCAAACTCCTGGGCTTAAGTGATTGTCTTGCTTCAGCCTCCCAAGTAGCTGGGACTACAACTGTCTGCCACAATGCCTGGCTATTTGTTGTTGTTGTTGTCATTGTTGTTGTTTAGCAGGCCCAGGCCAGGTTTGAACCTGCCCGCCCCAGTGTATGTAGCCGGCACTCTAACCTCTGAGCTACGAGTGCCAAGCCCTCACAGTCTATTTTTATCACAGCAGCCAGAAGGATCATTTGAATATGAAAGTCAGATCATGTCTCACCTTTGCTCAGATCCTCCACCAGTTCCCAATTTCTCTCTGAGTAAAAACCAAGGTCTTTAAAATAGCTTAGAAATCCATAGCCCATATGTTAAGTGCCTTGGTTAACACATTGTAGGTGATATGCTGTATAAGTATAATATACACATCAGATTTCAAAGACTCAGCATGAAAAAAGGCACAATGTCATTAAATCTTACACTGATAACATATTGAAATGATCATATTTGGGATATATTGGCTTCAACTAAATATATTATTAACATTTAAAAATCAAATAGCTTAGAAGATCCCAACATAATCCATCTCACCCATTCCACTGCCTTTCTGAGCTAACATCCTATCACGCTTATCCCCCTCACTCTGCTCCAGCCATACTGCTGTCCTGGTTGAGTATTCAACTAGCCTAGCACATTCCCACATTTTAGGGCCTTTTTTCTTAGCCGCTTTGTCACCGCCTGTGACAGTTCTACCCAGATATCAGC